TTGGTTGTGGAGTTACTGATAATCCCTATGTTCTTTTTTATACTTTTCTAATTTTCTACGATGAGCTTGCACTGGAAAGCACTGAATAGGTTCTAGCTTTGGCCCTAAAATTTGACGTAATCTTTCTGGGCCTTTTTCACATTTAAATATTAGATTTCTTTATGTAAGCTTTTACTTTAAAAACCCCTTCAATTTGTGCTGTTTAACATATCTACCCTCATTCAGTTGTCCTTTTTTTTCTTTTTCTTTTTTTTTTTTTTTTTTTTTTTTTTTTTTTTTTGCGGTCCGCGGGCCTCTCACTGTTGTGGCCTCTCCCGTTGTGGAGCACAGGCTCCGGACGCGCAGGCTCAGTGGCTATGGCTCACGGGCCCAGCCGCTCCGCGGCATGTGGGATCTTCCCGGACCGGCGCATGAACCCGTGTCCCGTGCATCGGCAGGCGGACTCTCAACCACTGCGCCACCAGGGAAGTCCTCAGTTGTCCTTTTGAAAAGGAAATGGTAGGACTTTTTATTCCTCATGATTTTAAAGATGGCTGAGTGGGTTTTAGTGGATAGTTTGAGAAGGTGAAGCACAATTTTCATAGCAAACTAGTTGGTATATTTTTGGTTTGTTCTGGCTTTTTTTTTTTTGTCTGTGCCATGTGTCTTGTGGGATCTCAGTTCCCCAACTAGGGATTAGACCCAGGCTATGGCAGTGAAAGCCCAGAATCCTAACCACTAGGCCACCAGGGAACTCCCTAGTTGGGAGTACATATATATATATGTATATATGTATATGTTTGCAAGAGTATATATGTACATACATACATATATATATATATATATTTTGTTGTTGTTGCGGTACGTGGTCCTCTCACTGCTGCGGCCTCTCCCGTTGCGGGGTACAGGCTTCGGGATGCCAGGCTCAGTGGCCCTGGCTCCCAGGCCCAGCTGCTCCGCGGCATGTGGGATCTTCCTGGACCGGGGCAGGAACCCGCGTCCCCTGCATCGGCAGGCGGTCTCTCAACCACTGTGCCACCAGGGAAGTCCCGGTATATTTTTTTTGTATGAAACTCAGACCAAGGTTTCATTGGAGGTTTAGTAATATATAAGGTTATTTATGATGTGCCAGTCTCTGATAAATGTCCTTTAAAAGTGGATCAACAAATTTAATCCTTATAGCAACCATATTAGGTAGGTGCGGCTATGGCTCAGGGGCCCAGCCGCTCCGCGGCATGTGGGATCTTCCCGGACCGGCGCATGAACCCGTGTCCCGTGCATCGGCAGGCGGACTCTCAACCACTGCGCCACCAGGGAAGTCCTCAGTTGTCCTTTTGAAAAGGAAATGGTAGGACTTTTTATTCCTCATGATTTTAAAGATGGCTGAGTGGGTTTTAGTGGATAGTTTGAGAAGGTGAAGCACAATTTTCATAGCAAACTAGTTGGTATATTTTTGGTTTGTTCTGGCTTTTTTTTTTTTGTCTGTGCCATGTGTCTTGTGGGATCTCAGTTCCCCAACTAGGGATTAGACCCAGGCTATGGCAGTGAAAGCCCAGAATCCTAACCACTAGGCCACCAGGGAACTCCCTAGTTGGGAGTACATATATATATATGTATATATGTATATGTTTGCAAGAGTATATATGTACATACATACATATATATATATATATATTTTGTTGTTGTTGCGGTACGTGGTCCTCTCACTGCTGCGGCCTCTCCCGTTGCGGGGTACAGGCTTCGGGTGCGCAGGCTCAGTGGCCATGGCTCACAGGCCCAGCTGCTCCGCGGCATGTGGGATCTTCCTGGACCGGGGCAGGAACCCGCGTCCCCTGCATCGGCAGGCGGTCTCTCAACCACTGTGCCACCAGGGAAGTCCCGGTATATTTTTTTTGTATGAAACTCAGACCAAGGTTTCATTGGAGGTTTAGTAATATATAAGGTTATTTATGATGTGCCAGTCTCTGATAAATGTCCTTTAAAAGTGGATCAACAAATTTAATCCTTATAGCAACCATATTAGGTAGGTGCGGTAATTTTCCCCATTTTAGAGATGAGCAAATTGAATTTCAGAGCAGCTAATTAACAGGTCACACAGCTAGAAAGGTAGAGAAGGGATTCAGACAGACCCATACTGTCTAATTCTAGAGCCTGAGCTCTTTTTACTGTACATGTGTTCAACTCAATCAAATTGACCATAAAGTGGAAAAGCTAAGGATTCCTTTCTTTAATGTACTAGTTGGCTTGTTATAGAACTTTTTTTAGAATGTAAGAATTATGTAATAATATATTAATGATTTTCTATAATATGATAAGAAAAGTGTGAATTCTGCCCGTACTTTGCAAGAGTTATGCCTTGTTTGAGGTGTAATTGCTATATTATGTGGTAAAGATTGATGTTCCATTAGTGACATTTGATTGCTTTGTAAGAAGTTGGGAACTGTTTGTAGTGTGTGCATATATAGACAAATAAAAGGATGAATAATTTGAACTGAGACAAACTTTTATTTAGCTTTTCAAGATATACGAACCATTTCCTATCTATTACTTCTAAGGCAGATGTAGATTTTAAGAGTAAGTAAAAATGTTAACTGACTTCAAAGAGAATATTACCTAGAGCAGCTCTTTACAGTAGAACATTGTGTGATGATGGAAATGTTCTACATTCACATTGCCCAAAGTCCAGTAAGTTTTAAGCCAAGTCTAATAAGTTTTAAGAGGTAGTAACAATTTTTACTTGAGAGGGATTGGGAAGGCATCACAAGTATGTGATATCTCTGGAGAATGAGTGAGATTTAGAAGGACCAGGGCATTTCAGGTGGCAAAAGTGGTAGAGCAAAGCAGGAGGATTGGAAGACTGTTTGACTTGTGTTGGGGCACTGTGTGCTTGAGATTGCACCTGGAAAATGGGGGTGGGGTTGGGATTGTGAGAGGCCTTAGGTTCTACATTAAGGAATCTGGACCCTATTTGCTGGTAATGTTTTTGTTTGGAAGGTAATTAGAAGCAAGACAGATTCAGAGTTATCAAGGTAGAATAGGAAATTAACCCTTCAACGGACGTACGATAAAGTTGGGAATGTTAAGTTTTTCATTCTTAGAGCTAGTATTGTTTTGAGGAGATAAAGGCTTGAAAACAGGGCTGCAGGAAACAATGGAAGATAAATAATGTTGGCTTTTAGTTATGTTGGGATTGAGGTATTGGTGGGATGCATCTTAGAAATTCAGATCTGGTGGCTTTTAGAAAGATGTAGGTTTGCATGCATAGGCTAGAAGGAGTGGACAGGGTAAATGGAGTAGGTAAGATTACGGTGGGCAATTTCCTAAAGGGCTGTATGGGCTGTAATAGGGGAGACATTTAAGTGGTACTCAGGAATTTTTTTTTTTTTTTTTTAAGTGATAGGTGGTATATTTGCAGAAAGGCTGAGCTTGATACCTGTGCTCTAGAGGGGCTACCCCCCAGCATGTTGTAGGCCCATAGAGCTTAGGGCTCATAGGAAATCTGATGAAATTCCAGGCTGTGTCATATTGATTCACGGCATAGCTGCTTGTAACTGCTCTGGGAGATTGGCTCACAGGGATTCTTGCACCATTGTTTGGAAAGGACCACTGAGGCACAGAGAGGCTAAGCATTCTGCCAGTTTGTACAGGGCTGGTAAGTTTATCTAAGTAAAACAGTTCTACTTAATTAGTAGGTCATCTAATGTGGTCAGATTTGGACCAAGGCAGTATGGCTGCAGAGCTCTTATTTTTACTCGTTCCACTAAATTTGAAGAATTAGGGGTCCAGCGGGGATAGAGAGAGGGTCAAAGCTAGCTAAAGTGTAAAGTATGGAGAAACGATCTATAGTCTGACTCCCATTGCTTTCAGATTGTATGACTCTGGACAAATTTACTTATTAATACCTTTTTGGACTCAGTTTCCTCTCCTATAAAGTGGGAATAAGATAGGGTGCTTATGAGGATTAAATGAGATGGTGCATATAGGCAATTTATGCAGTCATTATTATTAAGTAGGAGGAAGAGAAGGCTTTACTAACCTGAGGGAGAAATGGACTCTGGGAAGAGCTTTGTCTTTTGGATTTTTTGGGGGTGGCATGGGTGAATTTGATCTTATTTTAGCTTGAGAGAAATCAGCTACTGGAAAGGGAGGTGACAAATATATGCAAGGTTCCAGAGTGAAAAACAGGGGGAAGCATGGAGGCCATGATAGCAAAAACATCAACTCCAAAATAACTGACTTTTTAAGCTTAAACACAGTGTTTTAAAGTGTTTATACCTTTAAGCAGGATTCAATTTTGCTTTCTAAAATAGGCAGCATATACATCAAACCAGCAGGCAGTGTATGAATTGATTTGGAAGAATGTGTTCAGAAGGGGGAATGAAGTTCCTTGTCAGAAATTGAGTCTTTTTTAAAAAAAAAAAGAAAAGAAATTGAGTCCTTGGAAACTAGTTCTAGAAAAGTAACTTTTTATGTATTCAATATTTACAGTAGGACAAGAGTTGTTTTCAGGGTTTATAGACTATTGGTGAAGTTATGAGCTGTTCTAAACACAAAGAACATTTTATTGATGTATTGATATGAGGGTATACTATTTTATATTGGAATTTTGAACACCAGACTTGAAGAATTAGAGGATAGTAGAGACTGGTTAGTCCACCTCTTTCCAGTATTTCATACAGATGGTCATACCAAACTTGTACTTCAACATCTAAGTGATGAACTCCCATTATTCTAAGAAACAGCGCATTCCATGGACAGTTTACTCAGTAGAAAGGTCAAAATCATAGACTTACTGTGTGCAGTTAACAAAAATAGGGCTTTTCGGCTAAGCAGATTTTTCTTGCTGTGCTGCAAGGCTTGTGGGATCTTAGTTCCCTAAACAGGGATCGAACCTTCCCCCCACTGCAGTGGGAGCGTGGAGTCTTAACCACTGGACCGCCAGGGAAGTCCTTGCCTGCTTTGGTTTTGGATGTAATAATTACAGTAAGGTTTGATGCTTAAATGTTTGTTTTGTCTTCTAGGGCTTGCATTTCTTTTGGTCCTAAGAATCGTTCAATTGGAGCAGCAGCTAAAAGCCAGGTAGAGTTTTGTTTTTCCCTAAAGTGACTTTTTTCTGTGGTTTGTCCATCCTTCCCATTCATTAAGTATTTCAGTGCCCATTATGTGCCCAACACTGGGAGCCCCTGGTTGTACAATTGAGAGAGATGAACCTGATCCTTCTTATGAACTTGAGTGAGAAGCAAATAGCTTTTTTATTTTAAAAAGCATGAACATATATAATCTGTTTAATGCAAAGTGCTAGGATGTTTGCTTGTTCCTGGGTATTTTATTTTATTTATTTTATTATTATTATTTTTTGTCGTACGTGGGCCTCTCACTGCTGTGGCCTCTTCTGTTGCGGAGCACAGGCTCCGGACGTGCAGGCTCAGCGGCCATGGCTCATGGGCCTAGCTGCTCCGCGGCATGCGGGATCCTCCTGGACTGGGGCACGAACCCACGTCCCCTGCATTAGCAGGTGGACCCTCAACCACTGCGCCACCAGGGAAGCCCTTTCCTGGGTATTTTAAATGCTCGTTAAAGTGTCTTGTTCTGTCTTCATCTTACTAATATTTAAGGTCAGTGTTGATCAAGGTTCTCAAGGAAGGAAAACATACTTGTAGAAGCACACTTATCATTAGTTTACTTTTAAACCAGGAACCTGACATATTTGCTGGTTCCTCTGTAACCAGAGCAGCAGAACCTGAAGAGTTCTATTTCCCTGAGTGTCTGAGGTTGCTATAAAATTAAGGAGTTGCATGTTAGATGTTTAAATAGTTCAGTCTGGAGCAACGTATAGAATGAATAACTGTCTCTTTTTCTGGACCAGGCAGCGCCTAAGATTTATAAGCCCAAGAAAATGGTGCTTGGCCAATTTAATTAAATTGGGTGTTTTATAATCTCATTTTCAGAAAGTTCAACATGTTTTAGGAGACAGTAGATAGCAAGTACAGAGCTGTTTTGAAACGTCTTTCCTTCTAAAAGTCCAGTGAATTCTTCCTGTTTTTAAACTTGCTTTCATTATTGAGAATAGTTATTGTACTAAACTGGCTGCCTAGTTCTAGGTTGACATAGTTATTGTGATACTGAGTTTCTACTTGGCAGCTTACTGAAACAGGGCCTGACTTTGGAGCCCTCATATTGTTTTACAAAAGAACTTCTTTTTGTGCCTTTTGACATTCCTGATGCAGAGGAGCTCTGCTGTTTTTCCTTGGGACTTGTTGCACTTCTGCATTGGGAAGAGGAGCCTATAAGTCTTAAGCAGAAGTTCATTCTTAAATTTTTTGAATGTCCTTTGCCAGCATTTTTCCCCATAAATTATAATACTTTATTCTAGAGAAATTAGAAAATATAGATGTAAAAGTGTAAGGAATTTGGAAGTTAGCATACTACCATTATCCAAAAATCACTGTTAATATCTTAATGTGTAACCTTTTGTGTTCTTTCTAAGCATATAAATGTTTTTCTCCCCACCCCAAGAAAGTGACATCATACCATATAGATACTTGTCTCCAGACTTCTAAAATAATATTAACCATTGTATGGATATGCCATAATTTATTTACCCATTCTTCTGTCATTTACCCTCTAGGCTCTTTGCAGTTTTCTGCTATGATAAATAATGCTCTATCAGTTTATTTGCATTATCTTTGTGGGCTTAGTGTCATCTTTTTTTCCTTTATAGTAAGTTTTCTTCACTAGAATAGCTGAATTGATACATACTGCCAGATTGGCCCCTGGAAAGTTCGAATCACAAACTACGGGTAATTTTTAAAAGATAAAAATTATTTTATGTAAATGTTTGTTAGAAGTTTAAGAACAGAGAATACTTTTATAAGGGTAATGACCTGTCTTCATGAGGAAGTAAGGCAATCTGGGCTCTGGTCCTAGCCCTGCATGTGACCTGTACAGGTCCCTCACTCCTCACTTCACAAGCTAGCAGGCATTGTTCAGAAAGGTTTAGTGCTGAAGAAAACTAACTCAGAAGGAAAATGATTCTGATTTAATCCTGAGATTGTTGAATTTTTTTTTTCATAATTGCTATTAGTCTTTCTACTCTTTGACTCTGATACACTTTTTCTTAGGTAATTTCCAATGCAAAGAACACAGTCCAAGGATTTAAAAGATTCCATGGCCGAGCATTCTCTGATCCATTTGTGGAGGCAGAAAAATCTAAACTTGCATATGATATTGTGCAGTTGCCCACTGGGTTAACAGGTATAAAGGTAAGGTTTTCAAGATAATACCTTAATGATTGAAATACAGTATTTTATGTTATCAGGTCATTTTATATTATACCATTCTACTTTCAAGTTGTAATGAAAATGGTTACAAATGCTTTGGAAAGTCTTTTGCTAGTAAAGACCATTGGCATTTTTTGAATAATCTGGATTTTATTTGGGAGCCATAGGTGGCACTGTTAATAGGGGTTGGACAGATAGGTGGTAATGATGTGAAGTTAACTGCCATTGCTACTTGTCTTGTTGACTAATGCAGCAGTCTTGCTCGTATGATTTTAGTGAATGACTTCGGAGGAGCAGGCAAAGAAATCAACACTTGAAAGTCACTGGCAGATATGTGGTCATACTCTTGACAGTAGGATTGGAAAGGTGGTGTTCTTTTGGGGAAAAGGGAGTTTAGTCTTTGCTATCTCTGCAACATCTAGGAGAGTCTCTTTGTGCATGCAGTGAACTGATCATACAAAAAAGATTAGAGGCTGAGGGATGGGTACGGTGATGGGTACAGTGAACACATTTGTCTCTCTTGCACTCAGGTGGTAAGAGGAATCCAGAAGGGTGTTTGAGCTTTTCAGGCAACTGAGTTTAGGGAGAGGAAATGTGGTGTTTGAGACACCCCATTTGGAGAAATAACGATCATGGGAACAGGTTCAAAATACAAGAGATGATGAGAATTGTAGGGA